TCATTATCACAAATGTCTGTCTCATAGTGAAACGCAAATATGCAAGTATATCGCATTCAACTTATCATATAATAGCAAAATTGTCTATATTTTTTTTTAATTCAAAACAACATGCGTTAACTTACTTCAATTTACAAAAACGTGTAAATGTACTTTATTTTTCTATATTTGATACATTTATGTATAATATACTTAAAAAATCCACTCGATCCTTGGCACTATGATATGGGATTTTTGAGAGTGGATTTTTTTAAGCATTTACATTAAGAATATTTTTTAATATAGCGAAATCGACCAAATATAACATTTATGTGTATATGATAAATATTAAAGTTCCTAATAAAATAGCTATTTTTATATAATTTTAATATAAGTCTTTGATTTATATTTTAACATTAATCGAAGTTAAACGGTTATCAATTATATAAAAAGTTATATTCAGTATATGTTTTAAGGTTTTGTACACTTTGGCAATATTTACGTATCACTCATCTATGTTAACATATATACAAATAATAACTCACATATTTTTGGGAAATTATAACATAGAGGTATATACGAGAGGGAAGATGTTTCTCATAATTATAACATTCTCGAACTTTCTAAAGTATACGACATTATTACTGTACAAGCATCTTTAGGCTGGCAGTGGGTGTAAGAGTCCGAATGTATCCAATTAATTTATTAATTTTATGTGCCATTAATATTGTAAATTGATTAATTATTAATATAAGCCGAGTCGATTTTGTAGGCAAACCACATGTATTCCCTATTGTGCTGATAAACGCTATAGAATCCAAAGAAACAATAAAAACAAGAGCACATAAATTTTTTAAATGAATTATTCATACGTTAACATTTGTAACATCGTTTGGAAATGGACAGTAATAAGCCGACTATGACGTCATAAGGGAGAACTCTTGGTGAAGTGGTGAATTGCTATAAGGGACGGTGTCTGCTAAACGATCTAGAGGTTCACATCCAGATACTAATTAATATAACAGCAGATGCTGTAATAATTGCAAAATAATAGAACAGCAGACGCCGTCTAATACGTGTAATAACCGCTTCTCAATAGAATCTCAAGCTACCATATTAGTCTTGCATATTACCTGTACTATCTACTAAAATGCAAGTGCAATGTCTTCCTCAAATATCAATCAAGTTACTGATATATAATAATATTGGACTTAAGTAACAATTACAAAATAAAAAAGAATTGTTTAGATTCTATTGAGATGCGGTTATTAAGTTAACCTTAACAGAATTAGGATTCTGGCAAATACACTCTTTGTTTGCTGACTGTACAAGAAGATGGTCCTATGACGTCATTTAATAACAACGGTCATTGACGGCCACGTCCACAGAAGCGGCAACTTCAGTGGAATGTCATTCTTACATACAAAATACAAAAAGTTGGTTTTAAATACAAAAAATAATAATCGATTATGCAATTAGTTATGTCATTACGATAATTTAACTATTTATTCTGTAGTCATAAAGATTATCGTACAAACAACAGCGCATTAGGTTACCATGTCAAATTTCCATAGTTTATTTTCCATAGAAAATTTTAAACTTTAATACATTAAGATGTGTTAAAGTTTAAAATGAAGTAAAATTCGTCAACTTTGTATAACTCGACACGCTGTTGACTAATAAATCTATCCAATTTCATATATTGTTATGTAAATATAAGTTTTTAACCTGTTTCATAATAATCACGGAATTATCTAGTATCTAAATTAATTCTTACATTTAAATGGTTAACATCGATAATGGCTAACAAATACAACAGTATCATTTTATATACTTAGTTTGTCTTCATAATATAGAAATATAATCTTATATAATCTTCGTTTAACTTATAATCAGTGGTCGGAATTAGGTAGAGTTATTCATGTACTTACACTGATTTCATACAGCGAAAGAATAAAGTGGATATGCCTCAAATCCCGAGATTAATATTATAGAGCAGAAAAAATACCGTGATTTTTTAAATAAAAAGCTATTTACTTTTACACAATTTAAACTACTGCACGCACGACGTTGCCAAACTTACATCAATGAAAGAAAGAAATAAAGAAAGAAGAAATAAAGAAATCCCGGGAAGGTCCACATTAATATCAACATAGTACATAAATAACTGTACCTAATTCCGACCTCTGCTTATAATTATTTAATAGTATTTATATTACAATTTCACTGAACTACTGTTGAGTGATCAGACCTTAATTCCAAAAATCTTCGGTCGCTTATTCAATTCCACCCACTGAACATTTATATAAGTAAAATGAACGTTTGTGACATAGTTAGTATTTTTATGCGTCAATATAAAAATATAACGTGTAACATAATATTAAAGAATTTATACAAACTTAACCGCATTGTTTCTTGTACGTATAATGTACGATTTAATTTCTAAACATTATATATGTTTCAACAAAATTAAAAAAAGTTACTTGTAATTATCACTGACATTATAATATTTGTACGTAGGCGAAGATGCGGCAAAGCAGTTAGTTGAAAATAAAATGTTCGTATTTCGATGCGACTTTGTACCAATAGAAATTAGAATGTTTGTGCCATCGCAAAATCTAATAAAAAAATGCAATTAAAATTTTATATGTGTATCATTATAGATATATACTACATTTATTTCATTACATAAAATCAGCGATGTTCTTCTACACAGAAGAGAGCAAGTTAATGGCGATGGAGTATTGTAACGACAGACTTCAAATATAGACTTTATCGGGTTAAGATAAGGTCCTACTCGTAGTAAAACACGCGGCTGTCAAGAAGTGTCATCGAAAACATCAATAGCAAAGAAACACGGCACGGGCTGCAAATGTTAGGATTGGCTAAAAACTTTTCGCGCTTTTGTAATGGGAAACTTCTTCGCAGCTACTTTAAGACATCTTTCTAGTGTACCCATGCGTGGATGAGGTCAAATAAAAAATATTTATACATATTGGACCACGGCAAGCATGTTATGAACCAAAACTAAACTAATATCTCGATAAAGACTACAAAGCTTTGGCAAATGTAAAATTAGTTGTTAAACAAACACAAATCGCACTCTCAAATGAAATACTTAACTCAAAATTGTCACAATTGGAAATTTAACGTTTACGTTATGAAGGTTATGAATACTTGTAACTGTTTATTTTAATTTAAAAATGTCATAAAACACATATTTCAGTAGACTAACACATTTTCTTGCCTTCAAATGAATCAAAATTTAACCTTTTTTTCGTCATAGTGATGACGTCATTCTGATACGTACAAAAAAACAGGTGCATAGAAGATTAAAGTATGCCAATAAAATAAGAACACTATCTAACGATCGATTATGAAATAAAAATTATAAATAAAGCTAAGAACAAAACTATCTAGGAAATTATAATCAATAGGCATATATTTATGGCTAATCTGACAGCTGTCGCCTAGAGTGACATCACACAATGGCGGGTCGTGTTTTAAGTCACGTGACGACTAATCGTGCGATTTGAAGACTCAAAATCAGAATCTCTATGGAAATTTTAGTTTCTGTGCAATTTCGTGACTTATCTTTCACTACCGACACTACCCTATTACTTTCAGCGATGGGTAGTGCGTAACAGGTATGTACTAACGCTTAACATTTTATTTCCAGTATTGCTTTTTTGAGTTAAGTCCTTGTTTGATTAAGCGAAATTCACTTTTTCATAATCTATACAAATAATACTATTTTTTTCAAATAATTGTACAATATCATATTTTTTTCACAGACAAAAAAAAATATATGTAATCTGTTACTTTCAAACCAACAAGCGACGATGTCGCGTTTAAGTTATTTATACTCTTCAGTTTATGCGCCTTAATAACCGAAATAATATAATAGCGTTGCCAAAATTGGTGTACGTTAATTTACAACTTATCATTCTGTTTCACAACTTACATATTTACACTTACATTAATTTCACTATATCATATTCGACAATGAATGTAAAAAGTTTATATTTAATCTAGAAAGAAAGAGAAGGGATTTTTAAATTAATATAATAATATATCAATAGTTTCATAAGAAACAGATTTTTATAATTGAAATACATTACAAATACGTATATCTTTTACCTTTTTACAAATGATGTAAAAAATATATTTTAATACATTCATGTATTATTATTTTATTGTATAAAAAGTGTTTACGCCTTATTGTCATTTATATTACTTGAGCACATATAAAATTGCAGTTTATGGATTAATTAAAAAGACACAATATAATTGATGCCTACTACTCGCGTATATCTTAGTATAATTTGTTTAAAAGACTTCATATGTTATCTAACTTATATTACACGAAATCAAAAGATTTCATTCACTAATGTCAGTGTAGCACCCTATCAGACTTTGAATAATTTGTCTAGAATTTGTAAGAACATTTATTTTATTAACATGTGAATGTTGTTATTTTGTGGCAAGAATTCGTTAGCGGAAATTTGTGACTCAACAGTTTTTGGTGAATTGGCAAAAATAACCTGATTTGATGTCTATTATCTTTATATACAACTATACAGTTATGATTATATAGAGTTTTATTTTAATTGGCAAAAATGGAGAAGCCTAACTGGCATCCTATGCGATCCTCGAATGCCGATAAATACCAAGAGCAAAGTATACAAAGCGGCAGTTACACCAGCGATGCTATACTGATCCGTGTGCTGGGCAGAAAAAGACACTCGAGAATAAGTTGCATGTGAATGAAATGAAAAAGCTGAGGTGGGCCACTAGAATTGATAAAATTAAGAACAGATTTATCAAGGGTACTTTCAAAGTGGCCCTAATAACAGAAAAAAAAAAACTAAATCTCGCCTCCGATGGTTTGGTCACGTGATGCGAAAGTGGTCATGCGGTGCAAACTGCACTCGGCCTTTCTGACAGCAAAAGAAGCCGAGGATGCCCTCCCCAACTTAGTTGGTGGTCAACAATATTCAGTGAGCTGATCACAAGTGCCTATAGAGATAACCAAAGACAGAATCGCCTGACGCAAATATACGAGATCTGACCCCAAATAATAGGGACGGGGAAAGAAAATAAGAGTTTTATTTCAATTGCTTTATAACGGTGATTCGACTGATGTATTTATTTATTTGAAACCGACAGTTGCAACGATTTTGTTAGTTATGTACTCTTAGCAAAAAGAACACGAAACACAAAAGTCTTTCCTTTTATTTTGGATATTATTGTGCCTATTAGATCGCCCTCTGTAATATGGGTTACTTTTCATATAAAAAAATATCAGTATGACCGAAAATTGGGCCGTTGTTATAGATATCTTGATAATTCGTTTATGTTATTAAAATATGTATTTTAAAAATATATTGTTCACTTACTTTTTATATGTCAAATAAATACATTTTTATTTATCAAAGTATTAAACAACGCCGAAACCCAGTGGTCTTATCCATGTTAACCTATACATTAAAAAATGTTTTAAAAATTGCTTTTTCATTAGAGCTTCAAAATTTATTACTAATACTATTCAATAAATGTGAAAGGTCTTGGAAAGAAGAACACGTCATCACATACATTCTAGGAGTGCCGGTTTACGACATTAGATGATATTAAACGAATATAATGTAATATTATATAGTAATAATTTAAAATTACATTTGAAAACATCTGAAAAAGGGGTATATTACAAAACAAATTATACCTAAATATATAATTTTCACAAAAGTAAATATAAATTTAGTTCCGATGAAAATAATGTCTTCAAATCCGACTTCTGATGGTTCGAATGAGCAAATGTATTTAAAATTAGCGTATACAACAGTTAAAAAAAGTATATAGCTAATCAGCTAAGTTTATTTTTTCAAATAAAATAACTGTACTATTATATCTTTTCAACAGTAATCACAAATTCATATATTATTATATAATTATACATATGAATAAATTGTAAAAATCCGTAACAATTATAATATTTAATTCACATGAATTATAGTGAGTACTTGAAGGTCGTAAATACAGGTGCTTATTATTATTATTTTAAACATCACAAAGTTTAACATAATTAAAGTCAAGGCTTCCTAATCGCGCTCCCAACATTAAACGTCATAAATATTCGGTTTCTAATAAGGCGTAATTCGTCCTTGTCTTTTTCCTAAAGTATGAAAAGGACAGCAACAACAGTTTACGTGATAACGAGTCTGGGTGTAGGGAGCACATTCGTGTGTTCGCCGAACATTAGGGCCGTCATCCATTTGACCTGATCCTCTGTTACGGATCCTGCAATGGTGCTACCGAACCACGGTCGCTCTTTGCTTCTGTGAAAAAACATAATAATAAAGTAACTCTACTCTGTTATTTAATAGTACATGTAATGTTTATTTAACTAACAGCCAGTTGCACCAACGTCCATTAAACTGTTGATTAGTTTAAAGCGACATTACCCATACAAATATGACATTAATTATAGCTTTAAGACGTCATTAAACCTTAATGGACATTTGTGCAACTGACCGTAAAGCACAAATCAGAATATCTACGCTAATGTAAATTTTAATTTTTATACAATTTCGTGACTTAGTTTTCACTCCTATATTACCCTATTTAAACCAATCCTCCATCAATACTCATGATTAGTGATGGGCAACTGTTAATTCATTATATTCTTAACCAGCCCAACAGAAACAAGTCACTTTACAAAGCTTATTTGAAAATATGGGTAGTTAATAACCTCATTTATGATTCTTTTTACAATTATTACGCCAATGAGGATATATATTTTTAATAACTTAGAAACTCCGAATTATTCATTCGCAACGATAAGGATATATGGTTAAAGATCATCGAACAACTAAAATTCCACCGTCGGCATTCGGAGATAAAGTTCAATATCAACTGACCTCTTCTGTTTCTTATTGCGCGGTATTATCGTGAAGGCCCACCGCGTTTGAGGATTGCGTTTGGGTTCATGACCAATGTACCATAATATTTCTTTGACGTTCCACTCTTCGAGTTTATGAGATCCCTGAAAGATTAATATAACTTAAATGGGATTAAAACTACGCGAAGTTATTTTTGTCACCCTGGTTCATTCTTCATAATAATACTAGAGAAAAATATGATTTAAAAGTATTTTAAGTATTTTTGTCAACATTTGAAAAGCAAGCAAAAATCTGAAGTCAAAGGTATTTCGTTAATTACTCGTGATAACATGAAATAACTTAATTTTTCGCATTAATATCTAGCCATAAAGTTATAGTGCGCAGTAAATAGATATGTGTTGCTTGGATATAAAATTATCAATAAAAGCAAATATTTCATTTCATATTTAAATATAAGGAATTGTATTGAATCTTGAAGAATATTATTCTGTATTTGCTGCTTAGCGTATTCTAAAATAGAAACATAATTTCTATTATACAAAAACAAAATAATAAATTATTAATTATTAACGACACACAAACAAATCGATATCTCACATTATAATCGATAATCTGTTCTCGAATTTATCGTTAGCATCCCTATTTACGGTCAGATGACATGTGTCAAATACGATCTCTTTATTTTGTGAATACATAAACATACCCTAAAATACCCAAAAAATAAAAATAAAGAATCAAACAAAACTAACCTGCTTGTCTTTAAAACAGCACATAACGCCGTTGTGTATCTCGAACATGTGCGATTTGAACGCTTTAGTCGATTCCGTAGCCAGTTTCAGTTCACCGCAGACCATAGACACGGTGTTCCTCAGGGACTCTATCTCGGACAATATCTTATTATCGGTCACAACCAGGTAGTTGTCCTTCCTGTCTTCCTCGTCCCAGTAGCCCCATCTTAAGACCACGTCGAGGACCACTTCATCTATATGGACTATACGCCTCATTGATTCGTTGCATATAACCTCTTCTAGCATTAGAAGGTGAGATTCCGATTTCGCTTTTTCGCATAGTTCTATACATATATCTGAGCTAGTTTTGTTTGGCGTGAGCTGGAATGGTAAAATAACTTGTTTAAGAACTTAAAAAAGGACATCACTTGTTTTATAAATATATTTCAGTGCCGGTTTCAAAAACCACCACCACCAAACCAACGAGACTGTCAATATTTCGTCACTAATGAGCGAAATTTAACAAATGTTCAGCAAATTCACATAAACAACCGAAAGAAAAACATTACAAAACTTTCGGTATACACATTAAGGCTGTGAAATTAATTAAGCTTAAAAAAACATCTCAAAACCTGGTTATTGAAAGACATTTTATAGTCTGGCAGAATATTTGGATGATAAATAAATAAATAAATATTTAACAACATCACACACATTGCTCAGATTCCAAGATGAGTAGCTAAAGCCCCCGTATTATGGAGTATCTGAGACAACGAAGGTACCACAACACCCAGACCCGAGTCAATATAGAAAAGTTCATTTTCTACATTGACCCGACCGGGAATCGAACCCGGTACCTCAGAGATGGCGACACCTTGAAACTGGCGTGCGAACCACTCGGCTACGGAGGTCGTCATGATAATTTAGTGATGTAATTTTTTTTAATTTTTTTAAAGAATGAATATTAATTTATAGTTTTATGTTTCTTGTTTATATATTTAATGTTTTAATTTGAAATTGTTGTATGTAACTTATTAATGTTTTCTTTTTAAGTGAACATATATATTTTTTTAGATCACCAATTTTTATATTGCATATCCGATTGAGTATATTGTTGTGACCAATTATGCATAACATCTGCAAATTATGTATGCACTTACTTAGTATAGCAATAAATATGAACCGCTCAAGTTCCGCTCAAAGTCCAAAACCGTTAATTGAGCGAAAAAATAGTTCACAACGCGTTGTGTTCTTTAAAAATAGCCCCAAAACGACGTCGAGTACAGCACAGTAACTGAATAGTTTATTACTTTTACATTTATTACTTTTTCATGTAGGTATAGGTTTGGATGAAGCTTGCAGCGACAGCGGTGCGCTCATCGTCACTCCGAAGCTGATTTATAACAGCACTGTCGATTTCGATGGTTCAAGAGCTTTACGAAATAAACTTGGATTTAAATGAATGTTTCGTTATCTCGAGGAAAAAATAAATTGATGCCAGTTTGGTTATAATTTAAAAGTCTAGTTGTTTATCCAAAAGTTTACGACATTAAAATAAAATATTTAAAACTTATTAATTCCAATTTGGTGCGTTTTTATGATTTTTGATCAAATATTGTGGACTGTTTTGCTCAAAGGTACCGTATTAATTATTAACCGGTGGTCCGTTAACCAACACAAGTGGCCCGCGGAGCCTCATAAAATTATAAACGTATTTCATTTACACATTAAAAGTATAATAAAAATAATAATAATAAGCCTCTTTATTTCCATAACATGGTAACAAAATGAATATTTGTAAAAAAAGGAAAAACAATATTTTTAAACATTGTCATGGCCCCTTACGGGTATAGGCCTCCTCCAGATGCCTCCATCTGTCCTTGTCTTTCGCGACGTCCATCCAGTCCCCTCCCACTAATTTTACTATGTCGTCTTTCCAACGAAATATTAAAAGTATAATTAAAAGTGTAATTAAAAGTATAATTAAAAGTATAATAATACTATATTTATTTCGATGGAGGTACAGCATATTAAATAGGGTGCAATTTGTGTACTTTAGAAAAAAAAGTAATGACTATTAAGAATCATTGATTCAAGTAAGTAAATGTACCATATCAGAAAAAACTTAACGATTTTGATGTGCATGCAATAATGATGAACTTGAGTAATACTGTAAAAAAAAAAACAAAAAAGTCACCAACCGTTACTTGGTGGCAATTGTTTCGATCTTTCACGTATACCCAAGCCTTCAGATCGCCGGCAGCTTTTTTGGGGGCAGTGACAGCGTTCCCTAGAACTGTCATTAGTACCCTGCGCACCGCCGCCTCGCGTCTCTTCTCACTATCAGTGGGTTCCCATATCGCCTCAAAGTTAGCTATCAGATCGCGAACTACGTAAACCTCTTTTGTAGACCATGCTGTCTGCAGCGTGTTACTTGTCTGTTAACGAAGTTCAATGGCACATTACAAGAGGGCGCTAAATTAAAAAATATCACTACCTTTCAATAGGGGTGTAGACAACTATTTTATTTTATATAATAACTTGAAATCTAAAAATAAATTTAATTAATAAAATTTCACGGCGTCGCTCGATCACGACCCTCTTAAATAAACATTGGTCTAACAATTAATCAGATTTAATTCTCTAATTTTTGATATGAGTAAGAGGGGCGTGTGCGTTCACGTGAAAACGAGTACAAAATATTTGATTTTTCATAATTAATTCAATCAATATTATTTAGAATAAAAATGTGGTGATTGGTAAAAGTACATTAAACACTACCATAAAAAATTTACTTTCGTTTACCGTTTAATTTAAAATCTATGAGTTATAGCGCAGATAAAAGAGCCAAGGAGTTTTAATAAGTAATAATTTTTTTCCTATTCAGTTTTTATGTTTCAGATTGCTACTCGGGCTTCCGCCTCGTCTATATTCGCGGTCGTACACGTCGATGATTTCTATGCTATCATTCTTGGATACGCAATCGCCCGAATAGCATTCTGAAGTTAGTCGAATATGTGATAGTCCCATATTGGCACGCTGAGTGCAGTTGCATATTAGCTTTTAATTGTATTTGTTATCTTTTACTTACTAATATTCTATTGTTACTAACATTAACTTGATATTATTATTATTATTATATAATACGGTCGCGTTGGAGTGGGGATGTTTCTGTCATTGTCACTCCAGAGCGATGTATATAACATTGTATAATGAAAGTGATGTTTCAGTAAAATTATCATTCATATATTTTCTTAGATCTTACAAAAAATTTGAATATAATATAAAAAAAGTACTTACTAAAGCAGCGGGCATTATGGTGGGCGCCCAAACTGATGCTAGATTTTCTGCACTCATCTTGTTCGCGTGCGACATCGTAGTTAGGAAGTGTAAGTGAGTGAACAGTTTCCGCACTGTGTTACGTGCCACCAGAGGCAGCGATGCGACGATGCGACGATATTCGCCGTAACGCGAAACGGGGTCTTTAATTTCTAAAAAAAAAAACTAACTAGCTTATGAACCGCACCAAGAATTTGACTCCAGCAGTGCAATTTTAAACGAGGTTTAGCGTCAGAGTAAATTTACGATAAAATTACAATTTCAGTATTAGTCCAAATTCATATTACACAGAGCATAAGCAAATCTACTACCCTCTAGGAGTAAATATTACTCCCGTAGAACCTCGTACTAGGTTAACCTTTGCCGTGTTTCTGTTTTATAATGTGAATTTTGACTAATACTTAGTGCAGTTTCAGCATAATTAAAAACTCTAACGCTAAACCTTGTTTATTTATAACACTGTAAATGCTTCTATCGTATGTTGCTGCTTTAAGCAGTAGTCGAAAAGCAGCCTCACAATCTGCTCAATTTGCAGCTATAAAATCACGTCGAGTCTTCGAAGCATCTTACATGTCGACGTGACCTATATAATCACGTAGAGTCTTCGAAGCCTTGTAACTGAGCAGCTTACAATACGCCCCTTTTCATCACCACTATCTTATTGTGGATAAAGTTCAAATTGGCTCGCGAGGCAGCCCCGCAATATACGCCTCAATAGTTGCTCAAAAAAGTTCGGTGGCGTAGTGGATGATCGCCGTGATCCGTGATCTTTGTCGTTAAGCAACTTTCGCGAGGATCGGTCACGATATGGGAGACTAAAAAATATATCTCAAACTACTCAATGCTTCGGTAGCGTTATGCTATTGGTTGGGGTTGCATTATAAATACGTTTCTTAAAATGGCATTGATTATCAAAATGTTAGTAGTTAACTCAAAATTATCTTGCTGGGCAAAGTTACCTAAGGCCGTAGTGAGAGCCTGATGCTTTTCCTGTGGCACGAGAGATTCAGGCAGGTCCCTGAAGAATCTCTTCAGGACGCCGGCGACGTCGTGCTCCGAATGCTGCCCGGGGCTGAGCTGGACCGACCACGCGTCACGACGGAATCTCGCCAACAGTTCCGACAGCACGGAACTGCTGCCCGCACGACGGTATATACCCTCGGATAGACTTCCTAAGTAATGAAATTGTAACAATTGGTATTTATTCAATATTTTGTAAATGCCCGATCCAGGTTGAAAGAGCCCGATTCATATGTATTCACACGCCATAAACGATAAACGACAGCTTTGCACTCGGAGGCATGACATTGAATAATAATAATAATTTATTTCATATGTATATGTTGACATACATTCATAATCACAATATTACATATTTTTATTATCATAGAAATATATATCAGCCTTTAATACCAAGCTAGGATGAGAAACAATGCCTTTCATTGTTTCTCATCCTAGCTTGGCATCAGAGAAATTTGAATTGTCGAAAAGTGCTGATTTCCAGATTTACAAAAATGTGCCAACCCAGGAAGTAACTTATTAAAGATTGACACAATGCTAGTAGATTGGTTTAAAAATCTTAGGCTCCAGAATGCATCATATAGTTTTAAATACTACAATCACTTTGCGGATCCTACTACATAGCAGCAGCACATGACTTGAAATTGAGTTGAGAGTCTATAATAATTCCTAGATATTTTATTTGATCAATACCCTCAAGCGTACAGCTGTTAGTCTTTTCTGTTATGATTATTGAATTATTTTCGGAATTTTCTACTTACTTACGTATATAATACAATATATAGTTTGTTTTATCGACGTTTAAGGTCAAAAGATTGTTCGATTATTAAGCATTTTTTGCGCGTCACTGTAAGTAGAAGCCCAATGGTACCCTGAGACTAAAAGAACCGTACATCTGCACAGGAAATTAACTTACCGTTAAGTAGTTTAATTAAACACAATTAATTTATATAAATAAGAAAGAACGTGGGTCCAAGAACGCTGCCCTAAAGAACTCCATAGTGTATCGGTAAAAAGTCAAAACAATTTAGTAGATAATTTTTAAAGAGATTCAACTGATTTTCCCATATACTAATGACTTTCAACTTATTCAACGACTAAAGGACAGATACCGTAAGCGCTTTTTTGAACGTCTAAGTCAGTAACGATATAGTCCGTCATAGCATGTACTGCATTGGAAAATGATCTAGTATGATGGAAACCAAATTGATTGGGTGAAAACAACTTTAAACTTTGCAAATATATAATCATTTTGTTTAATATGTTATACCATCCAGAGGCACATACCACATTTAGTTTACTGATTATAAGTAGGTAGTAGGTTCCCATGATCAAATCATAAATTGGGCTTGTACTTGTTTGTCTTTCTTATGTCTAGTTTCGTAATTGTAGCAAGCGTCTTAGAGTGGAGGGTGGGGTGTAAACGCAATATCAAGTTGCACTAGTTGGAAAAAGTTGTAGGTCCGGGCCTGATGCTGCCCCCGACGGGGTTAATCCACCACTGGTGTGGGTTAAAACAAAGGAGTTGGCGTTATGTTTTTTATATACATCTGCATTTCATTTTGGTGATGTTATACTTTTTATAGCATGCCAAAGTTTTTTATTATCCCTACCAGCATTTTGTAAGTTTCCTTTCATAGTCTCGTTTTATTTTTTCAACATAGAGCCTAGCAAATATTTCTGTAACGTTTATAAACAATGTTTCATTATAAGGTGATTTATTTAAGTTCCTATATAATTATCTTTATTTGTGATACAGTCAGTGCAGTAAACCAAGCGTTATCCGTATTTTAATATTTTTTTTTACGTTTTCGTAAGGTAACATTGAGTTTTGAGATTTTATAAAAAGCGTCTTTTTTACACCTAGTAAGGAAGCGAAAAGAGCAATCGGGGTCATTTGTTTCGTATGCAGGTCAAATCATTCTCACTTTGTGCATGCTCCCGTTATGTATAATGATGCATAATTTTTTTATTTTGTTCCAGCCATTTCAGTTAGTTGTTTCTCACGCAAGCGGGTTTTTGTTTTATTTTAATTATATTATTTGTATATGTTGTTTATATAGTTAAGATCAAATACATTAGCCGTGAAATCGATTCAAAAACCTATTAAGAGTCATTTCTACTTTTTTTTCGAGCTAATTAATGAAATTTATGTACCCAATTCTTATAGTTGATCAATATTGGATTTACAATGCTATACTAAAAATGTTACCAACGACAAATGCCGAAAAAGCTCGTTTTAAAAGCATTTATCATTTATATATACTAAGAATATTTATGTTTCTATTTTTAGCAAGCAATCGATAATATGTTTAATTTTTATAAAATTGTTTTTATTTTCCAAATATTAACATAGTTTAAGATTAAAATTGGTTTAAAAAGTTGTAATATCGTACATAATCTTTAATGTAATAACATATAATAAAAGTTTAAGAAATATATTTTTATTTTTAATAAACCGATAAATGTATGTTCCAGCACTTCTGGCAGTCGAATAACGAGTGCATTGAGTGTGCAAGTTTAATGTTGTAATAGAAGTTCAGAAACCAGGTAATTGGTCTGCGAAGTTCCTCGAGTTGGTGAGGTGACAATTTTATATAAATTTACTTGTAAAATAGTGTGTATACGGTATCGATATGTAAACATATTATCGATTGTTTACTCAATAGTATTATTGATGATGTCCGTAGCCGCGTTGTTGCACGTCGGTTTCAAGGTGTCTCCGACAATGAAGTTCCGGGTTCGACTCCCTGTCGGTCCCGGTCTCTTTTCTATAATATATTTGATGAACTTGCATTATATATCCATCTGGATAGATAGATAAATTCCCTAAAATCGAAGTTTCCATCACGAAAGCGTTTAAACCAAACTCATTAGCAGACCCCTCTCCAAACGCAAAATTGATATTGCGGGCTGTTTCTGCCGCGTTACTTCTGCGTCGGAACTCGTATTCAAAAATTACTCGAATTTTCGCAGTATCCATCTTTCTTGTCTAAGTTGAACGACAAAAACAATTGAAAGTCGATATTCAAATGTCTCACATTTTTTAAAGGAAGGACATCATAGAAAACATATGAAAAAAGTTTCTTTCGAAAACCTCAAACCATGAAGATTCTGTGTCAATTCAAGGAACCTATTACGACAAAACGGCAATTTCAATATTTAACCCCAAATATTAAGTGTTTTATAGATAAGCTATGCTTTGTTCGACGGGTAGTATGAGCTGCAACACTAACTACAGCACCCATGTATACAAATCAAAGTTGATTAATTTCGGTCGACTGACTACGTACTGTATGCATCGTAACGTACGAATCAATTATTATACATAGACGAACACCATCATGTTTGAAACTGTAGTGGAAAGGTATGATTAATATTTAGTATCTTACATACTTGCTGTTTTCCCGCAACTACACCCGGGTAAATTATAATCTACGTCACCGGCGTAATGATATAGCTTTCCGTGAGTGAAATAAATTAAAAAATCGGTCCAATAGTTTTGGAGCCCATTACGTATATACAATGCGAGTTAAATAAAAGCGTTTTGCATTTCTTATCCATAAAAACTTTAATTTTGCCAAATGTCAGACTTTATTGTTCGTGCAAATAAAAAAAATAGGTCCTTATCCAACTTTGTTCTTGAAATAATCTATACTAATAAATATTATAAAGGGGTAAAATTACTATCTCAATTTGGTTGGGGGGTAATCCTTAGAATTACTGACTAGACCATGAAAATTCTTTCGTCTATGGAAAGCTATTTTAAACGCGGCGCTTTAAGAGCAAAGTCGCCGTAAAACAACAAGTAATAAGAAGTAATAATTACTCACCATGAGCATATATGAAGCTTATGCATTTATCCACGACAGTTGGTACGTCCTCCTTGGTCAATTGCTGATGGTGGATCTGTGCGCCGTTGTTGTGAGCCGCCAACTTTATCATGTATCGCCAACCCTATGAATATACACACCATAGACAATAGACTATGACGATAGTAAATTAGCACTCATTTCTCCTACTCTCTACTAAGATATCTCAAAAGTCGTTTTAGGCAGTAATTTTAGAAAAAAAACAAGAAACTTTATGAAATAAAAAAAAGTAAGAAAAGCGCGGGCTATATTATGACAATCTTCAAATCTATGATAGTGAGGTTGTTTTTTCTTAATTTTAATATTTTTGTTTAAAATTAAACAAAATATAAATTTAATTGATTTTAGATACTCCTTTATTTGTCTTTCATAAATAAATAATTTTAAAGAAGATTTTTAATTTCGTAGTAATATAAGTAATAATTCCTAGTATGATAAGTAATAAAATCATACTAACCTTTAATTCCCTTTCGTGTGGGAAACGCAAATACAATGTTGCGTGTGGACAGTCGAGCAGAAGATTACCACTGCCATCTGTTGGGCAGAACTGTTTCGTCTCATCGTCAGCATCTTGAGAGACTGTGAACAAAATTGATATTAAATTATACATACATATATTTATTCATATCAATAGGATAATCGATACTTCAAATAATTCTCAAATCCACACTAGTAGAATCAGGATACCATCACAATAGCACTGATTCATCCCACACTTAGCGTCCGCGGCAAAATCAAACGCGTTAGAACTCATTCCGTCTTCAACAACAATTTTGTGTCAAATTAATAAGCGGCGGCATAACTTTTGGGGCGGTGCATTTCTACCCACATTTTAACCTTAAAAACCGAAAGGAGGCCTCCATGATTAAATTTCATTTATTTACATAGCATGAAATGCAGACTGACGACCAATTGATCTTATTAGGGTTCAGTTTATTCTTTTGATGTACACAACCTGAAGAATTTTGACCTATTCAGTACATATAACTAATCCTGAATACAAATGCAGGCCCATATCGTCAACGAAGGATCGATCGACACAAAGGCGAGTGAAATTCAAGGTGACTGCGGAAACCTAGACGACCGTCACTATGTACCTATTCAATTATTAAAATCGCCCGGGGTTAATTCAATACAAGCAAAACATAGTTACATGTAAGCACTAGATGTCATATCCATACCAATACTATACATGGTAAAGTATGCTTGTTTGTTGTTTTATCGTTATGGTACAACTCTTAGTTATTAAACGGACGAATCGACAGATAATAGATAACTGATTGGTTTATCAGCGGTAGTGTTGGAGGTTCGTTTAAATAAAACCTTTATCATCTTTTCAAGTAGGTTTTATTTGATTGAACTTCTAATTCTGTGACAGAGCGCCGAGTTCAACGATATACCTTTTTTAACAGAATAGCACTGCAGTAATATTGTCTAATAGAATTAAAACGAGCGTAATGAAGACAAAATTATCGAATATGTTGTTCACAGAATAGTCCTCCTGCTATGTGTTGAGACATAATTTCAATACAACCTTGGTTTGTCCCTACTCCCGCTCATAACTGTCACATATCAAACAAGATGTTATACTGATATTGCTATGATATTGAAAATATAGTAATACCGCTTCGGAGTAAAAATCATTGCACGACATAAGTTGATACTTCAAAACATTTTCTATTGCATAGTAATATTGCTTTATGAATTTTAAAATATAATATTATGAGATTAAATTACTTTACAAGAGATGATACTTCAGTATGAGATTTAGAAATATTTCCTTTGTATGCGACGTCATATATGAGAAAAGGAAGTAGCGTCGTCAATCTCACCGGCTTCTAGTGTCACAAGACATACTTCCGTGACTTCGTACATGTGGATTACTGATTCGTGATACCTACGGATCCTCTCATGGAGAGAAAAAGGGAAAATATTTACCATTATTAGATTGTTGCACCAGCTACCGGCCACCTTTAGTAACTTATTTATATAGAAACTTAACGCTGATTTTGCCAAACAACAATTAGGGTATTGGGTTAATTAAAACAGAAAACGGATGTCCGGTATTACAAATTGGCTCAACATGGAAAAAAATTCTAACTCATTGCAATCCTTTGAACAGATTTTCCCTATACCATTTCTAGATTTAAAAGTAGTACGAGTGTCATACCCTCCAAAATCCGATAATTGGAAGTCCGGTTACCGCGCTCCTCTATATTTCGAAATCGGTGTTTATTATTTTTTAGTGGACTTTGCATTCACAAATCTGAATGCTGAATTGTCAACGATATTTGTTCCGATATACTCGTACTTTTAGAATAATTTAAGTAGAAGGGGAATTTCAGCTTTTATTGTGTTACCTATAAACGACTTACAGTGTGTTTGGGAAATGTATCGTGCATACATATTACCGCCTTTTTTTCGGTAAGTACTCAAAGTTTAAAGTCTTTGGTAAAAAATTGAGAATCTTTGAGGCTGTCCTTGGACAGCGAGAGTAATCTCTAAAGATCTGAACATACACGTCCCAGCTGCACCGAGGACTCACATCGGTCTTCCCCGAGTATTACAATCAGGGTAAATGAAGCCGTGTTGTCGCGCTGCCGTAAGACGAAAACATGTCCGATATTTTTCAGTGTCTCAGTTCTGAGAGCACTGGATAATAACATTATCACATCGGGCATTAACGATGCAATGGATAAAGAGTCACAGTGGGTTCAGTGACAATAATGCGACAGACAGTCTTGCCAGGACAGTCCACGATCTACGAGTGGGAACCGATGTTACCAATGCCCTGATAAATCTACTCAAAAGTTGGTTACGTAACCGCTACCAATAACGACGTGTAAAACGGAGTCTCAATAAAACGTCAGTCTCAGGCACCCTAGATTGGGTTCCAACTTAAGAGATTTAATATAATACTTAAATATAATAATAAAGTATTTATTTTGTCAACACAAAACCCAACAGTAGCTACATTAGGTATAACTATTTATAGGTATAAAGGTAAAGCATCGATTTTAAAGTCCTTTTGGAGACCAAATATTCACACGTTACCCTAATAACATCTTTTATTTTTACATTTAGATAGATAACGAGATGATATAATGTTTTAAATTAAAAATCTATCAATAAATGTGTATATATTATCATCATGTATCATATGTACCTACTCAAAATTAAAAATGAATTATATTAACAATATTTCGTTTTGGTTGTCACAAACAAAAGGTACATAAAAATCACAATGAACCCAACCGACAATATATAATGTACAAATTCATAATTATTTTGCCATCAATATAACTTACTTTATATACAGAAGAGTGTGCCTAAAAATACATTAAAATAATTTTAAAAATAATCATATAAAATGTAGAGTTTGCGTGTGAGTTTATGTTTGTCATTATTTCACTAAAATACTGAACGGATTTTGATGAAATTCAGCATGTAATAATTCTCAGTCTGGATTAACATATATGTTACTTTTTATCCTAAAGTTAGGCGAAGCCTAAAGTTAGTATACAATAATCACAATCTCCTGTTTGGGCGCACCGTATCCATGTATAGTCGAAGAGATAGATATCAAAGTAACTATAATCAATAATAAACCACCAATGTAAGTACAAAACTCAATAAACAACTCATATTCTATTTGTAATTTTTCGTAATCGTATTGATATCTAAATTTGGAATTTTTCAAATTTCAGTTTTTTAATATGTTAGTTAAAAGGAACGGATATGACTGTCTGTGGTCCATTCGTTTCGTGCAAAATCAACTTTTGCTAGAGTCGCCATCTAGTGGAGGTGCTTTTTAGTGCTTTCGTTTTTTTTTTAAATACTTCCTCATTACTTAAGTTTTTACGTTTTACGCGGCAAAAAGTCTTAGTTTTTTCAAACTGCTCTCAACTGATCATGAAAAGAGATAAAAATCAGAAACGAAAACCTGTTTAAGTTACGTTTGAAATTGTTAAAGTACGGTTTGAAACGTGCATAACTTTAAATTCTCAATTTAGAGACCTAGTGATAATAAATAACTTATTGTAATAATAATAATTATTATTTGGTGCCTTTCAATGAACGAAGTCAATTGTAAGGGTACCTATAAAGAAAACCACTTTTTTCAATTGAATGAAAGCAAAGTAATCAAGTTTTAATAGTCTGTAATTTATAACTACATCATAATTTATAACTAAATCTCTTTAAACTTTGGCAAATAAATGACAGGTGACATTAGAATTCTAACGGCTCAGCGCGTACATGCGAGCGATAGTTCATACTTTTACAAAGATTTTCTAAATCCTTTCTTTCCACTTTAAAATAAACTTTATTCTATTTATTTTTTGTACTTAATAATAATTCTATTTATAGTGATTTATTTAATGTTTTCCTCATTTTCAATTACAGCTTATTTGGATGTTATATCTTTGTACAAAACCAATTCTCAGTTAGTGAGTATTAATTAGTTCTTAAACAGTAACAATCGCGTTCAACCAAAATCCCATTTTTATTAATTTGAAACTCAATTAGTCCGCTGTAAAACTAAATTAAAATCTAACCACTTTACTTACATCGTATAATGTGTAATGTATCTATTCATATTCTCTCATAAAAGAGAACATTCGATTTGTAATCCTTTTTTATAGTTATAATTAGTGTTCTGTTTGACTTTTCGTGATTACGCAAGCTCTTTCTTTTGAATCACTACTCTGATATTTTCTGCCGGATATCCGGTATCCGGCTAAGCAACTATTCTGTTCAAATAGGAAAAATATAACAGATAATTAGACACAGGATGTAATAGGGTGTGATACCGATACTAATTAATACTTATAAAGAAAAATTATAAATAGATAATCCCCGGAAATACGGATCAGATCATTTATGTGCCTATTTTTTTTTCTAATTGGCTATTTGACAATTAAGATAACATTAACATGTTGAAATGGTAACTAATACGTAAACGATTTGTTGTTTAAAAATAAATTTTATTTCTTCGAAATTAACTTGCGATTTATAACCTGTGAATTACAAGTACAGAAAGTTGGGAAGGCTACATCGAAGCATAGTGTGACGTCAATTTTCAATAAACTAAACGTCAACCTCTTTGTTTATTGAAATATGACCATCGGGCTCGACATGTTACACGACTGAATTATTTCGAGGGGTAAAATTAAAATTAATTCGGAATAATATTCGGAAAAGATTCTTGGTTCGATATTGCAACTGTGGCTTGATTAATAAGGCTGGTTAGATTCCAATAAAAAAGTATATAAATTTTAAATATTGCATTTCTTTTTATTTAATTTAAACTGCAGTTTGATAATGAGCTACAACGGAATCTTTCCCTATCTATTCTAGGAAGAATAATTGGCATCTGATTCGGTCGTTGTTTTATAAAGGACGGTTCAATTTTTTGTTAATTTGACTCTAGTCGACGATTTCAACTATGATTGTAATAGTACTGACTATATCGATTGTGTATACCAGCGTGCTCATTCATTCCTTTGACCGCCTTTTTATATGTATCTGTGCTACTGCAACTTATATTATGTCCACTACCAACATACAGTAAAAAAATA